GACAGAGAATAATAATTCGGCCTTGGTGCCTCGCAGTTTTATGGGTGATACTGGTGGGCGTAATATAAAATGTGTTAATTTCAAACGTTAATTATTTAAAAAGAATCAGATCTAAAGTTACATACGACTGCCACGGGGTTTGGGAGGAGGGGTGAAAGCACAATGGGCGATCAACAGATATCCATTGTGAGTGTGTGGATGAACACGATGCACAACGATACACTTGCATTAAAGTTATAATTAAACGTGAATAAAACAGATCAATAGATGTCGCGGTTTTACTATTTTGGGTCCTTACATCGTTTTCATGATGAACATGGGTCTCGGAGTAGCCATCGATGGCCATTTCGGTGTGCAAATGTTGTAAAACTTTTTTTACTATTAAAAACATGGCAAAACAAATTCCAGAATTAAACACGCGTATATATGAACCAGTGTTCGCACCTATGTATGTAACTTGCCTCGACAGATGCCAACATCAAGAGGTCTCTCGTATAGTTCGTATTGTCTCGTTTCCTTGACCAAATCAACCAATTGCGGGTAAACTTCATCATAACCTTTCACACTCCCGATGGCACAGGAACTCATAGTGACAAGAGCTCCATTCGATAGAGTATCCTCGGCCGTGCGTTTTTGGTGAGGAGTCGGATTGTCGTGGGTGCAGTCCATAAAAAGCGCATGGGGACTAGACCCTGGAACAGGGAAAACAATACAAGGGGTGTCCGACAATCCATCAATGCCTGTACAGGTAGTTATGTCTGTCAGATGTTCCACGTCCATGGATCCTTTGTAATTAGCAGGCGATATAAGTGACATTAGATCAACTTGAGAAAAAGAAAGAAAAAAAAAATTCGGGTCAATATAGACAAAATAAATATATTCGAGATCAGAAATTGCAAGGTGAGTTCGATTTTTACCAACAGGCTTTTCTCCGTGCCTATGAATCAATCTGCTAAATTCGCGTGGATCCCACGCTTGCATGGATTCTCTAATAAGTGAATTGATGCCCATCTCTCGCATAAATTTGATATCGGCTTCCTCGGAACCGGTAAATAATTCAGCAATGACATAGAGATTTGGTCGGATGGAACGAGCCGCATCAAGAAGATAGGTGCCAACATGAATCGGCGTAGAATGACAATTGTCAATGCGAAATCCATGAAACAATGATGCAAGTTGTTCGGTATATTGCCTCATGTGATCCCAGAGCCAGGGTGAATCCTCCTGCGAATTATCAAAGAAGATGAATAAGCTGTCGTAATAGTTAAACATTGAATAGCCACGGAAAACGAAATATGTACCCTTCCTCTACCATATCGCAACTTGGCACAATCACCCCAAACTATCACTTCCCTTCTCAGATAAGCACGCGAATCGCTGCCAGCGAAGTCTTTCAGGGGATCAGCATTCCATATCCAACCATTGTTTGCGACTGCAAGTGTTCCTTCATACGCATATTGTGTTTCGTTTTTAATATGAACGCGAGTGAAATATGATTCAGTGAGAGGATGCCTAAAAAGGATGTTTGCAGGTTGTCATATTCCCCAATGATGGTAGATAAATAAACGATTTTGAAAGTGGATGTATATTTACGGCTCATGAATTTTACCCTGTTTCGGGCCCTTCGGGTCGAGTCTCAGGTATCTAAGACGATTCTTCACATTTTCGAGGATTATTGCAGAGTCCTTATCATATTCCTTGTAAAATGGCAAATTAATTTCGTTGATAATCGCCTCAAGCTTCTTCATTTTAACTTCATTTGGTGACAATGTAACTTTGACGCGACGGACCCTTGGTTTGATGGCAGTAGGTGTAACTAATTTCTCAACGGGAATTTCTTCTGCTTCGGAAAGAATGCTTTCCGAGGGGGGTGTTCCTGTGGAGATTGAAATCGATTCAACCTTGGTGGATGCATCCTTCAAATCGGTCTCGAACGACGAGCCACCATTGTCTAACTTTGTCTCGGTTACTTCAACCTTGGTGGAGGCATCTTTCGATTCGGTCTCAAATGACGACGATTCATTGTCATCCGACTTCTCTTGCCTCTTCTCGGTATCCTCCTTTTGTAGCTTTGTGCTGGAACTTCTTGATGGCGTCTTGACAAGAGTAGGTCGGGCCGTGATGGACTCAAGCGAGAAAGTCGATCTCTTTTCTTCGGATCTTTCATTTCTGATCTCCTTCTTTTTGCTATCGCCATTGGTTAGATCAGAATCCTGATATGATTTTAATTCTTCCTCCGTCGGGACATATGTTTCTTCGACTTCCATGGTGTATTCGTTAACAGGCACGCTGTCAATCAACCGATCTATGAACGCTCTTGCCACATCGACGTCAATCTTTTTATGAAACCTATGACCGTAAGGTGACTTTTCGAAGAGACCCTTCTCACTCAACAGATTTGCCTGCGCCCTAATAGGAAGTGCGGCAACATCGATGTCCTTGAACAAATTTTCGCCAACGGGAGCATCTTTTCCCAAAGATTCTTTATACTCTTCCAAAGCTTCCTTAACGTCAATAACGTAGAACTCCCACAGTCTCATCTTTTGTATCACGTGACTCCTTGCACCGTCGATGATCGTGTTCAGATCAGATTCCGAGTTTACGCGGGTCGGAAGCCCGAGTGAGGATAGATTTTTTGAATATTCGAAGAAGGCCTTGTCCAATTCATAGGCGGGTATGAGATGTGGAGAGTTCACCAAGTTATAAACTTTGCGCGATTAAATTGTGAACCAGATATCAACAAACGAATTACTATCTTCGAGCAGGCAAAATAAGAAAAGACGGCTTAGTTTATTTGTTCGAAAATTACATACAGGCCTCCGGATGTTCTCCAATCCATTTACTATTAGAAGCGGTGTGATTCCAGACAACGTCTATTAAACTCAGGATTCCGTATTCCTCGTCGAGTTCAGAAATGGTTCTTCTCACTATTCCAATTTTCTCTTTGTGACTTTTATTTAGATCCTCTTCATCAAACAAATCATCTGAAAACGACAATTGGTCATATATAGAGTAAGGAGAATTAGAACTTCCGCGTGCCTGCATTGGCACAAAATGAACCATATTATAACCCAGATCGGAGATAACTCTCATGTGAGCATGCCATTTAGAAAATGGACCCAATAATTTCGGTAAGACGGATTGTAAGACGATGCCATCCAAGGGAAGGATGATCTTATTGTCATTTTCATCGAAAGAAGAATCGTCCGACAGAATTCGACGTCGTGGAATCGTTTCGAGCACCGGATCTACCATGAAGTGACTTTTTTTTGACGTCATCGTATTACTTTTAGTTTTCTCTGGGGTAGGTAAACTCTGGTATTCGACATAGAATTCATATGTTCCCGACTTCCGGATAACGACATCCACATTAAGAGGTTTGGAGAAGTCGTTCGGAAATCTTTCAAAGAGAATGTGAGTGAAAGTTAACCGATCATTGATAATATGAAAAAAATTCCTTTATTCTTTTTTGTTTTTCTCTCTACCTAATAGCATTGAATCCTGTCCTATCGAAATCCCCCCTAATTGAATGGTTAATGTAAAAAGATGAAAATTTATCACAGGCAGATGGAAAAGAGCTCAATCGATTTACTTGAATTCTCCTAATTATTATTATTACCCATCCAAAGGATGATTTGTATATAAAACACCTCCGTGCGAGGCAAATGAACCGGAGCGAATGTTGAATCGAAGAATATAAGGTTTTACTGGAGGTGGAAGGCGAATGAATTGTTTTCTTTTACTAAGAGATCCATCTCCTTCAAGCTCGAGACGATAAACCGTAATTGGTGATTCTGTCATCTTTTGAAATTAAAATAATAATAATAATAACAATAATAATAACAATAATGATTCGAAAAAATCATCGATAAGATCATTGCGCTCCTCAAGTACGAGTCCTTTTATAGCAAAGAGGCATAACAAAACGACCAGTGAATGATAATCCCAGTTCTGAAAAGGAAAAACGCAGATTGAAATCTAAAACAAATCCATCTATACTTTTTTGGTGAAGTGTAATCATGTAGGTGTCATCACCCATCTAAATACGGACAATACTTCATGTTTTAGCTAATCGGTTGACGTTAATAAATGCAAAGTCTAACGTTAACATTATCTAACCGATAAGCAGCATGATAAGAAACTTTTTTCATTTCAAACGTAACCCCTTTTATAGAGAGAATTCCCTATTTTGTAAACTTCCGCAAAAATGTCGGATAAAATCAATGAGCAACAACAAAACATCTCGAAAAGTTTTATCGGTAGACAGCAATTACGAAAAAGAATGTGAAGATAATGCGATTATCGTAATGAAAAAGCGCGGTCTAATCAATTCGTTGACCAGGTATCTCATCAACTCGATCAATTTCTGCTTCATTCAATCAACCCAACGTTTTTCAAAACTTATTTGTCAATTCAAAGTCCGGAAATAATAAACCTTGTCAATAAGCCGACAACCGTTTACTGCGGGATGGATCCCACCGCTTCAAGTTTACATCTAGGGAATTTACTAGCGATCGTCTGCCTGTTACATTTTAACGTATTAGGTCACCGTGTAATAGCATTGGTTTGTAACGGGTGTTTATTGATCTGAGATAAATAACAGATGAAGAAGAATTAACGAATTGGTGCATCAGATTGGCGGTGCGACAGGTTCGATTGGAGATCCATCTGGGCGTAATACCGAAAGGCAACCATTACCGCAATCTATCATTGAACATAACGTCATTGCTATCGATCGACAGTTGCGCCAAATCTTTGACAGTGGGCGAAGTTACGCGTCGAGACGCGGATACTTCCCTGCCAGTGGAGCCGATAGTGTGATAATAAAAAATAACTTCGAGTGGTTGCAAAAAATGACCGCCTTGGATTTGCTTAATGATTTCGGAAGGTATCTCAGGATTGGGACGATGCTGGCAAAGGATAGGTGACTTTTTGTATTCGTTTGGAAATGTTGCGCCGTGGGAGTGGGGATGGGGAGGCTCACCGTGCATAAAATGACTCGAATATTTCTTAGTGTCAGATCTAGGATGGAAAACGAAGGTGGGATAAGTTTCACGGAGTTTTCATATCAATTACTACAAGCTTATGACTTTTGGCATTTGTATAATTATTTTGACTGTCGAGTTCAGGTGATCCGATTGCAAGATTAAAGTCTCTGATATATCATCGAAATTATATCTTAATACTTTTCTGAATGTTGTTTGTTCCAAGTTAGGAGGAAGTGATCAATGGGGAAATATTACCACCGGCATTGATTTGATTCACAAAAAGAGGATCTTTAACATCACCGGGATAAACAGATCTGAAACTACCAACAATACGGATCATAAGAAGGAAGAAGATGCGTTTGGAATTACCACGCCTCTACTCCTAACTTCATCAGGCGAGAAGTTTGGCAAGTCTGCAGGAAATGCAGTTTGGCTAGACGACAAAATGACAAGCGCGTATGAATTCTACCAAGTATTTCCTATTTATTTTTTTTTATTTATTTATTTTGATTCCCCGGAAGATGCAAATCTTGACTGATTCTAAAGACTTGCATCATTTTATTCACAAGCATTTTATGAAGGTTGCCGATGCTGATGTGGAAAAATATTTATACATGTTCACATTTCTTAGAGGGGAAGAGATAGCTCAGATTATTAAGACGCACTTTGTATGAATATCCTCATAAGGGCCTCTTTTACTTATCATATAATGTTTGCAATGACAAATGAAGATTTCTAAATAGGAATCCCCCGAAAAATATTATGCCCAAGAAAAGTTGGCGTCCGAGATGACAGAAATGGTTCATGGCTGTAAGTTCGTCCAGATCCTCTACAAAGACAAATTTCTGCGAAGATGCTAAGATTATCGTTGATTGTTTAACCAGTGGCAGGTCTCCAAAGGGCCAGAGTTGCCACTGATATTATCTTTGGCATACCTATTAGAAATATGCGAAGTCGAGATGTAACTGAAGCTTTTTCGAATGACCCTCAACATCTGATATCGCTCAACCGCAAAGAAATTCTCGATTGCACGATTGATCGTGTTGCTGTCGTTGCCGGAGCGTGCAAATCACGTAGTGAAGCAAACAAATTGATCAAATCAGGCGGCCTCTATTTGAACAATGAGCGAATTGGGGATCCCCAATATAAATTGGTGGAGGAAGATTTGTTGGAAGGGATGTTATTCGTATTCAGAACAGGTAAAAGTAATTATAGGCTAGTGAAGATTATCGATTAGAATGGATTCATCGTTAGTTGTATATTACTGGGATGATGAAAGTTTGCCATTTCTAATTCACCGGAACCTGAAAACCTACATTTCGTGTTACAAAATTAAGAGTATAATACATCAAATCATAACTCTTACAATAAAAATGCATGGTGTATGTGGGTAATTCTTTTTGAAGGTGAATTTTTTACCAAAAATAAAAGATGCGGGGAGGTGTTCCCCGTGCATCACTTATTTGGCATCCTTGCGTCACCTGTGCAGCATTATATTCGAGTGGAATTTTCGTAATATAATAATTTATAAATTTTCGGATTTCTTTTCAGCATATAGAAATAAACGGCATTTAAATAAAGTCTATTTTAAAAAAATATAGTGCTCTATTGTAAAATCAAATAAAGAAATAAAGTATACCATAAAAGAAACAAAGCATATAATAAGATATAAAACATGAAATTAAAAAAACAAGCATGTAATGAAACCAAATAAATAAAGCATGAAGCTAATTAAATTAGATAATAAATTACCTTTATTAATTAGAAATTAAAAACCAAATGTATTAAAACTTTATTACTAACCAATTAACGTATTATTAATATAGCTATAAACTTAATTACTTAAAAATCTAAAAAGTTTTTTAAGATATATTTCTAAATGTGATCTGAAAAACAATATTTTACTAAACTAATTGACTATTTTAAGAAACAATATACTATATATAATTATTAGAAAATTGTATTACTAATTATTATATGAATTGTTAATTTTTGGGGGGGGGTATCCATAGCCAGGCTAGATTGTCAGTTTATTAATCAATTGAAAACATAAGTACATTTTCATTTGATATATGAATTGTTAACTATATATATATATATATTTTTAATACCCATAGCCAAGCCAGTACTGTGTGTTTATTAATCATTAAAAAAACCGATTGAGATACATAGGACAATTGTATCATGGCTAAACTAAAATCTTGTACTGATACACTCGTCAATGGTTTTCAATTCTCAAAAAAGCTTCAACCTCTAAGTGCAACCTTGGGAACAATATTTCGCTCTGAACTAAGTTTTGGATGAAGACCCTCCTAACTTACCCATCATTGCTAACAGGTTGTCACTACTTATTATCCTCCAAGGAACTGAATTCGAGAAACTACAAAAGAGGAAAGGGAAAATAAAAGGAAAGGGGACTATCTAAAAATGTGCAAATGCACTACATGAAAATGAAAAAAGAAAAAAGAAATTTAAAATTGCTCCATGTCCTTCAAAGAACCTCGGCTAAAAACCTCTTCTTATTAGGAATCAACCCTTCTGGGATATCCTTCTTCTTCCTAACCATCTGAGAAACTTATCTATCTGTGCTCTTGATTATTTTCTTGTGATCATTTGAGGTACTTATTGTCTACTCGAATCCAATATTTTGCTCAACACTTTCTTTCTTTTGGTCTTGATTTTTTATCTATCTGTGCAACATAGAGTGGCTAATAGTGGACCCCAGGTTCTTATATAACTTTTAAGTCTTGTTGTGTAACTCTCGATATCTTCCAGCAGTCACGCCTAGTTAAAGGAATTTTACTGATATATATCTTCTATTACCCAAAAAGCCAGATTCCCCAATAATCTTTTTGCCTTGTAATGGTGGGAGGGTTTGCAAAATATAGAGATCCTCGTCAATTACGATGTCATTATACAATGTCTGGAGAAATATATTCTCAATCCTAGAGAAGAGCAGTGTTTTACATTCCTCTGCTTTTCAGTCTTACAGCCTGACTGGGATAAGGAAATAACCTCCTTTACATATTTTGCCTACCGGAATGATAAGAAGTTGAAGGCCTTGGCTTGAACAAATAATTACCTTTTCACCACCTAGGGAATTTAGTGCCCATCCTAATGGCCTCATAATTTCTTTGCTTCGGTTAAACTTTATTTGAAGGAGTGAAGGAGTTCGTAACCTTGATTTCTCTTTCTATCACCAATGACTTCATCAGAACATGTGAGGTGACCAGTAGGTACCTGTTTACATTCAGTTACTAACATGTTTTGTGTCTACCAATCATATTTTGTAATAGGTTGTGTTACCTAAAATTCAGGATCAAACTGAGGTAGACAAAATTCCCCAAAAAACCAAAAAAAATTTCGGACAACTATAAGAGGGAAGAAACAGTAGGTAGACACCTTGAAATATGGCTTGATGTTCGTCATCTCCCACTGCAGAAAACCTCTATAGACATACTTCAATATGAAAGGTTTCAAGTACTATACTATTAGTTCTTCTTCCTTTCAGAACTTTCTTGCCATAGGTAGAGAAGGTGTTTCTTGACTTTT